GGAAAGGCCCTTTTCTCAAGTATTTTAAGGATCTTTCCCTGCCCCTCACCCGCCCCCTGCACGTGCCTCATCCCAGCACCAATTAAAAGCCAAGCAGGGGGGAACAGCTGAGCTTGCATGTCCATTCTGCTGTGAGGCCCCGTCCAGAGGGCTTAGTTTCTCAAACAAAAACTCATTATCAGCTGGAAGCAGCACAGCTAGTGAAGCTCAGGAGCACCCACTCTCCTGGTGGCTCACCGTCTCCCGTCTCCTGGTGGCTCACCGTGTCCCGTCTCCTGGTGGCTCACTGTCTCCCATGCCCTTTTAGCTCATTAACCCAGATGAAATCATTTTCTCAATAACTAAGTAACACAAAGGCCTGGTTTAATGGTATTAATAGAAACTCAATGAGTATTTGCTTGACAAATGACCGATCAGTGAAACAGAACTGCTAATTTAAAACTGGAAAGAAAAGGAGAGAACCACTGCTAAATAATCGAAGCAGCTCTGAAGGTAAGAATCACAGAAGTGAGTCAGAAAAATGAGATTCAGCTGTCCACCGACTTGGACAATGAACTCTTAGACAAAACAGAAACCAAAATATATAAATACAGGGTAGAGTTAATATATTTTAAATATATGATTTTTCCCCCCTAAAGTAGTCTCTCTTTGTGTAGACTAATGCATTTTATAAGGAAAGGAAAAAAATTCTGTGCAATACTCCTTCACTTGTGATCCACACTTGTGAGTTTAATGTGATAATGTGGGCCTACCTCGAAGATTCTAGATTTAACAAACCATTCAACCTGTTAGCTTTTCAGCAAAAAGCCAGTCAACAATAAAACTAGGCTCAACAGCTCAACTCTTAACCATAAGACATGAAATACAAGTGAAAATATGTCAAAGGTGTTTTAAATTGTTAATATCCAGTGTTAGTAACAGCAGTGAAACTTAACACCTGAAGCTTTCGCATTTCTGCCTAGAAGAATATCTGCATCAAACAAGCTCTACAGTTCGATTCATCCTGTCCCCACTGTGGATCCTGCATCTGCACAGTAGGATCCTGTATGTGCCCCGCACGCTCTCTGCGCCTGAATCCTCCACCCACCGCTCATTTTTAAGTAAAGCGGAGATGCTGTACCCCGCGCCCTGTGCCCTCAAGCCATACTCAGCTTCCCCTCTCTGCTTTTGTGGGGAAGAGCACGGACAAGAAGAAAAACAGATGCCTTGTTAAACATTAATAGTGTTTGCCTGTACAGTTAACTCTTTAAGAAATGTATCATGCTTCTAATGCCCAATTTAACAATGAAATGTATGTTTAGAAGAAAAGCATGTACGGAAATTTTTAGATAAATAACATGTAAACCTGTGTCTATTGCTCCAACTCTAAAATAGAAGGGTTTTAATCAAAACTGTAATTCAACACTTGCCACCTAATAAAACATAGGCACTAATTAAACTACAGGCAGAGGCTGGGCGCAGTGACTCACACCTGTAATCACAGCACCTTGGGAGGCTGAGGCAGGTGGATCACCTGAGGTCAGGAGTTCGAAACCCCATCTCGACTAAAAGTACAAAAACTAGCCAGGCATGGTGGTGTGCATCTGCAGTCCCAGATACTCGGGAGGCTGAGGCATGAGAATCACTTGAACCTGGGAGGCAGAGGTTGCAGTGAGCCGAGATCGCGTCACTGCACTCCTGGCCAACATAGTGAAACCCCATCTCGACTAAAAGTACAAAAATTAGCTGGGTGTGGTGGTGCACACCTGTCTCTTATACACATCTAGATGTGTATAAGAGACAGGGGGGAGGGGGAGGCGGGTGGGTGGGGGGCGTGCCGGCAGCAGAACAGGGTCAGAGAGGCTAGAATTGGGCCACATGGCCTTGGGCCAGCACAGAAAGCTCCCGCTTGGCAGACCCACCTGTCCCACGATGTTTAAAGGAGCTCTGCACTGCATGAAGCCAGTCGGCTTAACTGCAAACACTGCCTTGGTGAGAAGAAACAAGCAAAATGGCCCCAGCTCATATTTCTTTTCTTATCTGCAGCAAATTATGGCAATAATCTAAGGTTCGTTCAATGCTCCACGAGCAGAGGGCCACATACTTTTCTGAGTTGCTAACGCTTTAAGTTGAAGCTATTTCTTTTCTTTCTTTTTTTTTTTTTTTTGTTTGAGATGGTATTTCACTCTTGTCATCCATCCTGGAGTGCCGTGGCACGATTTCAACTTACTGCAACCTCCGCGTCCTGGGTGCAAGTGATTCTCCTGCCTCAGCCTCCCAAGTAGCTGGGATTACAGGCACCTGCCAACACACCCAGCTAATTTTTGTATTTTTAGTAGAGACAGGGTTTCACCGTGTTGGCCAGGATGGTCTCAAACTTCTGACCTCAAATGATCCACCTGCCTCAGCCTCCCAAAGTGCTGGGATCACAGGCGTGAGCCGCCGCGCCCGGCACAAGTTGGAGTTACTTTATCTCAAGGCACAGAGCTTTGGGAAGCTGGCGCTGAAAAGATATGGGAGGATTGAGGGTTTCAGACCACAGCTTGGGTTCAGAAAAAAAGTAAAAGGGCTGAGGGAGAGGACCTGTGAACTGTTCCAGGGTCAATTCCAGGCTACAAAGGAGACTATGAATGGGCTTCCGGAAGCAGCATTTCCCTGCACCATGAAAAAGCAGCGAGGCCAGTTATGGAGGCACATAACCAGGCTGACCGCTGTAGCATGGGCAGCAAACCTGCGTTTGTTAATCCAAGACACAGAGCGGCTTCCACCCGAGCCCCCTGCTGAGCCTGCTGCAGTTATTCTCAATACAAACCAGAGTGACCATGTAACCTTACAGCCCGCTCATTCTGTGCTCTTCCCAAAACCCTCCAAGGTTTCCATCCACTCAAGATGAAAGGAGAAATTAGACGAGGCCCTCGGTGACCTCCCTGTCTCACGACTCCTCAGACACAGCCAAGCTGAGTCCTGTTTTCAGGCCTCTGCCCGTGCCGTTCCTTAGCCCAGCCCCTTTCCTCCTCTCCTTCAGGTCTTTATGCCCACGACAGCTCAGCATGGCTGGCCCTTGCCAACCCCCTCCGGAAGCCCATCCCTCCTGTAATAAATATATTACAAATATTTATCTGTAATATTTAACGCTACATGACTCATGATCTGTTTTAATGAACATTTCACCGAAGGATAACTTGCTCACAAAGTGCCTAACCTGCCCTGGGTGTGTGGCTCAGCCTTCACCTGGGTAACCAATGTCATCAGGACCAAGAAATACAACATCGTCAGCATCTGAGAAGCCCCTTCTGTGACTGCAGGCCCTCCCACCTGCCAAGGTCTCATTCGCTTTGACCTCTGCCTCCATCCCCCAGGCGTGCCCAGCTTTGAACCTCGCATCAATGAATCTTATAATACACTCTTTCTGTCTGGCTTCTTTTCCTTGTTTAGGCTGTCAAAAGTCACCCATGTTGTTTGTTCATTTTATTTCATGTGAACATTTCACGATTTATTTTTGCTTTTTCTACTGTTGACAGACATTTGGGTTGTTTCCGGGAGCATATATTTACTGCAAACTGCCAAACAGTTTTCTGAAATGGTTTTGAACGCTCCCACCAGAGGCACATATGGGTTTCAACAGCTCCACAGCCTTCCAACGCTGCCCTGGATACAAATACCTCACCAGACCTGTGCTCTGCCAATCCTCTCTCCCGTCCTGTGGATTTTCTTTTCAATTTCATAACGGTGTCCTTTGAAGCACAAAAGTTTTTAATTTTAATCTAGTTTAATTTTTAGTCTTAATGTAAGTTTAGTAATATATTTGTTTACTGTCATCTCTGCCTAAAATGGACAGTGCCTTAGATGCATGCCACTAGGGGACAGATTTCCAAAACATACTCAATATAGAAAACCTGCACAATTATATTGTAAATATACTTCTGGCACGCTGGAAACAACACACATTTTAATTTAACTGGGAGAAGAAAGATCAGGACTTCTCATCAGCAGCTCTCTTCTCTTTCACCTGCGCGGTGCTCCTGGCTGAACAGCATCAGTGGCTCAGACCCCTCATATTCTAGAACGTGAAGCACATGTAAGATAACGCTTTGTTGCTGAGATGCTACCGCAGAAGGAAAGCTCCAGGCCACCCCAGAAAACACAGTGATAACACCTTTTCCTGTAAAGTTAGCTGAGTTGTGTGTGTGTGTGTGTGTGTGTGTGTGTTCCTATGTGTCAGGCACTATTTAGCAGCTCTACAGGGGTTTCTTATTGATTATCATGCAACTCCCATGAAGGTGCCATATAATCCCCGTTTTAGAGACAAGCAAACTGAAGCTAAGAAAAAACAGATAACGTACCAAAGATAAAACATGTGCTAAGTGATACGGTCAAGTTCAAACACTGTGGCTGGATTAGGGCTCGAGTTCTCACCCTCTGTCCATGCTGCCCCTCACAACCCGCATCCTGGCACCATGGTCCACACCAGTGCGCCCCTTAAGCAAGGTCAAAGGGGCTCTGCACCTGCTCTGGGCACGCGCACACAAAGGCGCGGGAGGAGGCCCTGCACCTGCTCTGGGCATGCCCACGCGCACATGGAGGCCCTGCACAGGCTCTGGGCATGCGCTGATGGAGGTGCGGCAGGTGGCCTGGCACCACAGCATGCACACACAGAGGCATGGAGGAGCACGCGGACCGTTGGGCTCACGGCTGCACCTCGGAAAACTCAGGGGCTCCTTAGTGCTGAGTCTCACTTTGCGACTGCCAAAAGGTTTGGTGCGCTGCTTAACTTTACGTTGGAAATGTAAGCGATGTTAGATGAATCACGCAATGGCTGGTGAGTTCAACTCCGTAACGACTCTGTCAAGGTTCTGGAGCTATTTGAGGTTGCACGGTGCAGGGTTCTAAGCCCTGTGACCACTTAGGACTTCTTATCTGCATGAGTGAAGGTTTCTTCTACACAATGCAACCAAAACGGAGCCTGGAAATGAACAGATCGACTCCAGCAAGCATCATAACCTCTCACTTCAGATTTTGTGTTCACTAAAGTCTTACTTTTTCACTGAATTCATACTAAATAAAGTCTTGGAATTTATAAATTTATACAAATAAAATGCTTTGAGAAGAAGTTCTGTTGGCAAACCCACAGAAATCACTGTTGTGGGTTCTGTAATTCCTGTGCTTGTGTGAGCTCAGGCAATCGGAAACAGCCTCCATCAGTCGCGCCGAAGGCTGCCTTGCTGGGCTGCCATGCAATGCCAGGCTTTCGGGGCACTCAAAGAAATCAACTTTTTATTTAACGGAAAAAAAAAAAACTCAATCTGAACATTCTTGAAATGTCAGCAAAACCCGTTTATGGTATTTAGATTTCCCAGTGTCCTTCTATAATTAATTCTCCCTTGAATGAAAAAGTTTCTTTTCCCCAGTGTATCTATGGAGTGCCTTTTATTAGACCCAGATGGAGATTTCCTTTTTTACCTTCACTGCCAGAAAATGCACAGCTAAATCCATCCCAGACGTCTGCTAAAATTTTTCTCGGCTTTTTTTTTTTTTTAAGTCCTCTTTTCTGTCGTGTTTAATTGTGTCAGCTACTTCAAATCCTTCCTGGAAGGGAGACTAGAAGCCCCAGCGGGCAGCCGTCTTCTCTGTCTCCTGGCGCTCCCCCTCGCCAGTCGGTATCCATGGTCCTATCGCTGACACGGCCTGCTGGAAATGGGGGCATGGGCAGAACCATGCTTACCTTTTGGGGTTGCTGCCTCAGGAGGAGGCACCTGCCACCCCACCAGGTGCCACAATGATGCCCCCCATGTGCGGCCACGAGGGCATGTGAGCCAAGTACAAGGTATAGGATAGCTTTCTGGTGACGAGAAAAACCGTATCACTGAAAAAGAGAAATATTCATATTGCTATCCACTTTGAAAACCACTAATTGATAAAAAGAAAAGTACAGAGGAGTGTGAAAGCATTGGGTCACACTTTCTAAGTCTGCATTTGTTACTGATATTTATTTTTTGAGTCCAATACAGTCAGGGTTTGACTCTCCGGGCAGCCTGTGGTTCCACGGCGGTTGATGGCTGAGGTCACCGACAGGCACTGGAAACCCAATTTCTGCCCAGACTCACTTTTCCAGTTTGCAAATTAGAAATAAAGACAAGAAATTTCACTCCTGCCTTAAACTCTGGGTTACTCAAATTCCATGAAGACCAACCTCTTTCAGTCCAATATTATTGTGATTGCAACGGTTTCTTAACCAAGTTGCCGGAAAGGCCCTTTTCTCAAGTATTTTAAGGATCTTTCCCTGCCCCTCACCCGCCCCCTGCACGTGCCTCATCCCAGCACCAATTAAAAGCCAAGCAGGGGGGAACAGCTGAGCTTGCATGTCCATTCTGCTGTGAGGCCCCGTCCAGAGGGCTTAGTTTCTCAAACAAAAACTCATTATCAGCTGGAAGCAGCACAGCTAGTGAAGCTCAGGAGCACCCACTCTCCTGGTGGCTCACCGTCTCCCGTCTCCTGGTGGCTCACCGTGTCCCGTCTCCTGGTGGCTCACTGTCTCCCATGCCCTTTTAGCTCATTAACCCAGATGAAATCATTTTCTCAATAACTAAGTAACACAAAGGCCTGGTTTAATGGTATTAATAGAAACTCAATGAGTATTTGCTTGACAAATGACCGATCAGTGAAACAGAACTGCTAATTTAAAACTGGAAAGAAAAGGAGAGAACCACTGCTAAATAATCGAAGCAGCTCTGAAGGTAAGAATCACAGAAGTGAGTCAGAAAAATGAGATTCAGCTGTCCACCGACTTGGACAATGAACTCTTAGACAAAACAGAAACCAAAATATATAAATACAGGGTAGAGTTAATATATTTTAAATATATGATTTTTCCCCCCTAAAGTAGTCTCTCTTTGTGTAGACTAATGCATTTTATAAGGAAAGGAAAAAAATTCTGTGCAATACTCCTTCACTTGTGATCCACACTTGTGAGTTTAATGTGATAATGTGGGCCTACCTCGAAGATTCTAGATTTAACAAACCATTCAACCTGTTAGCTTTTCAGCAAAAAGCCAGTCAACAATAAAACTAGGCTCAACAGCTCAACTCTTAACCATAAGACATGAAATACAAGTGAAAATATGTCAAAGGTGTTTTAAATTGTTAATATCCAGTGTTAGTAACAGCAGTGAAACTTAACACCTGAAGCTTTCGCATTTCTGCCTAGAAGAATATCTGCATCAAACAAGCTCTACAGTTCGATTCATCCTGTCCCCACTGTGGATCCTGCATCTGCACAGTAGGATCCTGTATGTGCCCCGCACGCTCTCTGCGCCTGAATCCTCCACCCACCGCTCATTTTTAAGTAAAGCGGAGATGCTGTACCCCGCGCCCTGTGCCCTCAAGCCATACTCAGCTTCCCCTCTCTGCTTTTGTGGGGAAGAGCACGGACAAGAAGAAAAACAGATGCCTTGTTAAACATTAATAGTGTTTGCCTGTACAGTTAACTCTTTAAGAAATGTATCATGCTTCTAATGCCCAATTTAACAATGAAATGTATGTTTAGAAGAAAAGCATGTACGGAAATTTTTAGATAAATAACATGTAAACCTGTGTCTATTGCTCCAACTCTAAAATAGAAGGGTTTTAATCAAAACTGTAATTCAACACTTGCCACCTAATAAAACATAGGCACTAATTAAACTACAGGCAGAGGCTGGGCGCAGTGACTCACACCTGTAATCACAGCACCTTGGGAGGCTGAGGCAGGTGGATCACCTGAGGTCAGGAGTTCGAAACCCCATCTCGACTAAAAGTACAAAAACTAGCCAGGCATGGCGGTGTGCATCTGCAGTCCCAGATACTCGGGAGGCTGAGGCATGAGAATCACTTGAACCTGGGAGGCAGAGGTTGCAGTGAGGCGAGATTGCGCCACTCCACTCCAGCCTGGGCAACAGAGCGAGACTCTGTCTCAAAATAAACAAATGAACAAACTAGAGGCAGATATTGTCATAAAATAAATTTGTAAGTGCTTTTTATTCTCAAGTTTAATCACAAAGGCCAGAAGAGAAAATAGGGAGAGATGCAGCTGGAGAGAGATGGAGCAGGAGAGAGACAGATGGAGAGAGATGGAGCAGGAGAGAGATGGAGCTGGAGAGAGAC